TCTCTCAGCAACCTCTCCAATATTTATTATTTTGTGTTTTTTTGATTAACGCTAGCCTTGTTGGGGTGAGATGGTATCTCATCGTAGTTAAAAAAAAGGCAAGATTTGGAGACAAGATATGGATTTTGAGGGGATGAGGTGGTTTCCTAGAGAAAATATTTCCTGTCATTTAGTAGACAATTAACAAAACTGTGATGTGAATAAATAAAGGAATGAGTGAGTGAACCAAAGAACTCCACTGTAACTCTAAGGGCCTTTCTGGAATAGGCACAGACAAGTTACTCAATTGTTCAGGCTTAGGAACCTTCTGCTTTATGCTGAAGTAAAAGGAGGAAGCCACTGGGCAACTGGGGCAGAGGGTGAAGGGTGTTTAGGGCGATGTGTTGTTCATTTTTATCATATTTTCAAATGAAACGGAATTAATATTTCACGTCAGGAATAACGAAAGAAGTCAAATTTCTCAGGAGCTTATGAGAGTGAGTGGCATGAGGAAGCACTGCATCCACACCATTGTGAGCTATGCTGTCCCCAGCCTGGGCTCGGGCAGAAGAAGGTCAGAACAGACCCCATCCCCCTAGATCCAGGGACTTCCCTTCTCCTCTTCCAAGACTTAACAACCAGTCACAGCAAAGCCTCACTTCAGGAGAGCATTTTAAATTCCTACTCTACTTAACCTGAAGTATAAGTTAAGTGGTGGAGGTCCGTAGGTGGGGCAAACAGTTTTGTGCTCGACGGCAAACCTAAAGATCAGTGGTTTGAACTCACCCAGAAGTACTGGGAAGAAAAGGCCTGGCAATCTGCTTCTATTAAGATTACAGTCAAGAAAACCCAATGGAGCAGTTCTACTCTGTAACACGTGGGGTAGCCAAGAGTCAGAATTGACTCGACAGCAACTGACAACAACTTACTTAACCTGAGCTTCTGTGATTCCTAGGTCTGCACCCTTTCACCAGCCGGTTTCCGCCTCCACCCCCTTCCTCCATCTTCTCAGCTGCTCCCCCATGCTGCCCTGTACTGCCCCAGTCCTGCCTCCTGCTTCCTCCGTGGTCCCCTACCTGGCCGCTAACTCGCTTCTGAGAGCTTTCACTATCCTCCAACCCTACCCCACACTCACACCTCTACCTGCCTCTGTCTTTTTCTTTCTTCATCCTGAGCTCTCCAATCCTTTCCTCATATTCAGAAACATACATAGATAGGCCTTATGTTGACATATACAACCCTCCTAAACACACACAGGTGAGGTGGTTGTGTCTTGGCCTCTGAGGTTTATGGCATCAAGGCTCTCAGCCAAATATATGTTTTCTGCATCACTCTGAAGTCACTCATCTAATAAGGACATGGTAAGGGGCTTCTGTTCAATTGTTTTCAAGCAAAAACAATTCTAACCTATTACTGTGGCTTGGTTAGGAAGGGTACTAGGAAGAGGCATATGTGTGAGAGTCTTAACTAAATATAAAAATTATTCTCTAATGTTAAGTATAATTCCTTCTATGAAAAGCTTCCCTTAAAAAGAGGTGAGAATTTTTCCCATTTGCCTGTATAAATTTATGAAGAAAATCACTTTCACAGAAAACTTCTTTTGGAGAAGTCACACAATATTAGAAAAGTTCAGGAAAATGAGGTCATTTGCATGTTCCAAAGGAGCAGTTTCACTGGCAAATGAAGGGGGGAGGGGGCATATCTGATCATCCTCTATTTACAAACATAAAATCCCAAGATGTATTATAGTGTTTTCAGAGTATACATTTTTGTTATAAGGTACTACTATCATTAGTGTCATTGTGCCCGGGGGATTTTGTCTCCCACAACAGCCCCAGGAAGAAGACAGAATTGATGGGATTTCCCAGAGGTGGAGGATGGTGGTGATGGACAGGCCCCAGGGGTCCCTAAAACCAAATCCTTGGGCTCACAGATGAGTCTTTCCAAGACCCGGAGATCACGTAAATTAACTCTATTCTCAGAGGTCTCTACACAAGAGGAAAATGCCCAAGAGTTGACAATATCCCAAACAAAAAGCCTGCGCTCAAGGCCCAGGAAGATTCCACAACAATCAGAGAGCTCTTTTCCCTCAGCTTCCACTGAGCAGACCTCTCACTCATCCAGCTACGGGGCTGCTCCAGAGAAGCGATGGGTCAGGTGCACATACTTCACCCAGGTGCGCACAGTCAAGGGGGTGGCCGTGGCCTGGCGGACCAAAACCTCCTTTGCACCTGTGGGCAAGATGCCCCAGGTCTTTGAGGCGAAGCTCTCAGAGGACAGCACCATCGGCTCTGCCCCCAGTCTGGCCTACATCAAGTCCCTGGTGAGTGCCCTGGAGCCCTGGCAGGAGAGGCCCGAAACCCACACCCCAGAGCCCAGTGTCTGGGGGGAGGAGCACGGGGAGAGGTCCCGTGCAGCCACCCAGGAGTGGCTGGTGACCCGCGAGCTCACGAAGCATGGTGTCAGCCAGGGCTTCAGCTGCCACGTATTCTGTGAGGAGCTGCTGGAGAGGTGGCAGCTGCCCTCAGCCCAGTGCAGGCCCCAGTGCTGCCATCAGCTGGCCAGGTGCCACCTGACAGCTGCCAAGAAGAGGGAGGTGAGCGAGAAGAGAACAGTCTGCAGGCATCTGGAGGAGCAGCAACTGGAGAAGCAGAGAGAGGAGCTGAAGAGGCTGAGGCACCAGCTGGCACAGCTGCAGGGCCAGGAGGCCAGGCTGCAGAGGGCGCTGGCATGGCCTCAAGGCCAGATGGGGAAGCACCTGAAGACCTGCTAGCACCCTCAGA